TGGTGGTGGTGATGGTGGTGGTGATGATGGTGGTTGTGATGGTGGTGATGGTGGTGGTGATGGTGATGGTGGTGGTGATAATGGTGATGACCAGAACATTCTTCTCAACTGTCCCTACATACTTTTGCTACACCCCAGTTCTCCCTAAGCAGGAGTCTGGAGGTTTGGCCAGCCAGGACGGGCCATCACAATAGGTTCAGAGCTCACAAGAAGCAGTTTCCCTTTGGATATAATACTTAATGGCAAGAGGTCAGAGGGTAGCATAGAGAATGGCGGAATTTGATGCCATCCATGCCATCCTGCTTTCACCTCTCTGTGCTTCCTGTGGCACCACTGCTTTAAGAATCACTTTGTAAACAGGTTTGGTTGTGTCTCCTGAAAGGCTATGCATGGAGTTAATGTTAATACAGAGTTTTTAATAAAGAAGTTTGAGGCATATTTATATTCCTGGTAATAAAAGAAGCACAAGAGTAGAGGCTTGTGGGGGTAAAAGGGAGAAAAATCCAGACAAGGAATGGCCAAAACTTTTTTTGGAGCAGAGAAGCACGTACTCAAAATTTCTTAATTTCCCTTTCAGTAATCACACTTATAGATCAGTATATAGTGTATGGTCTAAAAAGCTTTTGCATTTTTAGCGAGGAGTTTTGATCCCATATAGGAAGACTGTGCTGCTTGGAAGGTCCAGGTTCCTACAGCCATAACTGCAGGAAGGGACCTGGACTTGCAGGTGGGTTTGTGCCGGCAGGAAGTCCCCGGCTGGGCTGTCACACCGGCAGTGGGGGTGTCGGAGCTCCAGTCTGGCCACTGGGGAGAGAAGGCATGCCAGGCTTGGTTGTGTTGCTTGAGGGTAGGACCAACCCACCTGTGACGCCGAGTGCCACCGCTTCGCTGCGCTGGGCCCCCAGGCCATTATCAGCCTCACAGGCGTAGTTTCCAGAACGTTCTGGGGTCAGAGAGAGGTTGAAGGACGCTCCTCCTCCAGAGGGGGCCGAGCTGCTCCCCAGGGTGACATCCTCGTGATAAAACCGGTACTGGATCGGGGGAGAGCCGCTCTGGGCCTCGCAGCGAAGCTCCACCACGTCCCCCACCACGGCCCGGGTCCTGGGAGTCCTGAGGGTGAGGATGGGGCGGGACGCTGGGACTGAGGGAAGAAAAATAGTTAAGCATCAGTTTCTACTGTTTAAATATGTTTCTTCATAGGAGAGACCTTTCAAACTGGAAACTGTTTTCCTCGGGTTTTAGTGGCCTTGTGACATTACTCAGAACCCAGCTGTAATTTGTTCTGATCTGAAGAAACAATGACATTGGTGTGTGCTGCGTGTGGTTCCTGTGCTTGGGTGTGCAGTCACAGGTGTGCTTGCGGAACCTGAAAACAAAGATTAAACTGACTTCTGAGAAATCAAAAGACACCTGGAGAAAAGGAGAAATTGGTGTAATCAAAACTAGGAACAGGAGAGGCTCGTTATTCACGCAGCCGGGGATGTCACCGAGTGTCGGGGAGGGAGTAAGATGTCGGTGAGCTGGGGCTCTGCTGGGGTCTGAGAACAGGGGTGATCGCATGGGCTGAAGGAGCAAGTAGGACAGGAGGCTGTGGCCAGGTTATTGGAGCCGCAGGTGGACGTGGCTGATGTGACGACAAGCCACAGTGATGAGTGGCCCAGCCGTGTGGACGTTAGAGTCATGGACCGATGGCGAATGCAGGTAGAGAGGAAGACTATGGGTGAGGCACCAGCCTGCACTAAAGGGGCTTGGCGGGGAGGTCAGCCCATGACAGGGCCAGGTGGAGACCGTGCTGTAGCTGAACACAACAGGGCGGGTAAGAAGTCAGGAGAGGACGTTGGGAAGTCTTCTAGCCAGAGCTCCTGGTGGGAGCCCGAGCCGAGGGAAACTGAAGGGCCAACGAGAGAGTGAGTTGGCCTTTTTCCGGATTATCATACAGAGGGAACCCCACCTAAATCTCCTCTGAGGTGAGACCCGCTGCACTTATAATTTCCTTTCTTGCTGATCACTGTTGACCAGGATGTAGTTGGTACTGAAAACCTTTGCGTCTATGTTAGGGAAGTTCGGGTCACCGTGACTACAGTGTTGCTTCTAGCAAGTGCATAGCAAGCAAAGAGAAGGTGCAAGTTCCTGCAAATGCAGAATCCTGAGCTCCCAGGTGGAGGCTGAGTGGGCAGTGGGCCTGCTGTGATGTCCCAGCACAAAGGGCCCCATGGGACCTCCAGTCTCGGCTGCAGGGGAAGGTGGGGGCACAGTGGGTCGCCGGTTGGGCTATAGTTGGAACAATCAACCCACCTGTGACGCTGAGTGTCACCACCTCGCTGTGCTGGGCCCCCAGGCCGTTGTTGGCTTCACAGGCATAGTTTCCAGAATGTTTTGCAGTCAGAGAGAGGTTGATGGACGCTCCTCCTCCAGAGGGGGCCGAGCTGCTCCCCAGGGTGACATCCTCGTGATAAAACCGGTACAGGATTGGGGGAGAGCCCCTCTGGGCCTCACATCGAAGCTCCACCACGTCCCCCACCACGGCCCGGGTCCTGGGAGTCCTGAGGGTGAGGACAGGGCGGGACGCTGGGACTGAGGGCAAAAATAAATTAGTTGACATCAGTATCTTTTCACATTTCCTTTATTTTCATTTTTCAGAGATTACTTCTGTAGAGTATTTGTGACACTTTCTAGATCTTTTCTATGTAGATGAACACCCATTCACACCAACACATAAATAAACACATAAAAACATACATGCACACACATGCATGGGATCACAATACACATCCTGGTCTATACCCTGGTTTTCCCTTCAGCAGCACATCATGAGCCTCTTTCTACATCATTCTTAAAGGTCTATCTCATCCACCTTTAGAGACCAACTTTATTGAGGTATAATTAGTACATAACAAAATGCAACTCTTTTAAATTTACAGTTTGATGATTTGGGTGAATACTGCTCGATTATTTTAACAAGCGCAAAGCCTTCCAGCGTATGGATTCACCATAGTGCACTGAAGGAATTCCCCGCCACTGGGAATGTCCTTGCTCTCCTCCTGCAGATAACGTCACGGCCAACAGTCCTGCACATCCATCATGGCACGTTTGTGTACGCACTTCTTAGGAGAAATTCTTAGAAGTGGAATTTCTGGGATGAGAAATATGAACATTTCAAATAAACATATATTATGCTAGACTGTTCTTCAAAAACTTTGGACCTGTTTGCACTTGCACTAAGGGAATATAAGAATTCCAGTTCCCACACTCTCATCAGTGAGAGTCAAAGGAGGTGCAGAAGCTTATTATTTCTTCTCTGTTCCTAATCCTAAATTCTATAGTTATTGTCTCTGAACAATTCACCCATTGCATCCTATGTGACCCTGCGGTCTTCTAGTGGGTGTTTCAGGGGCTACTGGTGAACTACAATCCATTAATGAGAAGTTATTGCCTGTAGAGGATTCAGACGTTACTGACAAAATGGAAAGTTTGAAAGCTGTGCTTAATTTTTCAAAATGTATCCAGTCAATTCTATTTTGTTCTCCACTATGAAATAAGAACAATAATCATGAGAGAATTGTTGTTCTTTTATTTCTTCTTCTCCCTTAGACCAACTGACTTTTCTTTGTTACATATATTTTTTACATTTTGGGCACTTTCTGTAACCATGATTCTCATAGTTGATTAGCCTTTGTTTTCATTTCTGAATCAGTGGTTTTCAGCCCTATTTGTACAATAGTCTCACCTAAGGATGTGTTAAAAAATATTGATTCTGAGGCCACATCTGAGACATTCTAAGTTTAATTGGTCTGGAGAGAGGCTTAGTAACGAGCCTGTTTCAGAGTTCCTAAGTGATTCTCCCGGCAGCCAGCGCTGAGAGAGATTCAGTGTATACGTTTTATATCACAGTGAAGTCATTTTGAGTCCTTTGTATCAATTCCTATTTTGGCTGACTGGATTTTGTCATCAAGTAATTTTTAAAGAAAGTTTAATGGATACTAAGTTCCCTGAGTCCCTGCATGTCTGAGCATGACTTTCGGATTTGGTATAAAATTCTCGGTTCTCTTTCCTCCCTCGAAAGTACAAGTCTGGACATGACTCCTCTCTCTTAGCAATGATTTCTGTGGAAAGTCTGAGACTAGTCTTCTTTCTGAGATGACTGCATTTATTTACTTATTTACTTATTGCCGTGATCACACGCACACACACACACAGACAGATGTTTAACCTCGACATTCAGTAACCTCCCCAGGGTAAATCTTTCCATCTATGTATTCAAGTTTTCTTCGCTTCAGGAACAATTTTTATTACATCTTTGAGTTTTGTTTCTTTCCTCAGTTTGGTTTCCTAACTTAGAGACACTCCACTCAGCGGTCTTCACTGTCTGACCTCTGTATTTTATATTTTTGTCTTATTGCCTTTGTATCTGTGTCTCTCTTTCTACTTCGCATTCTGTATTATTTTCTCAAACCAGTTCTTCATTTTATTAACAGTTTATAGAAATATACATTCTAGCCTTACTGTTTCAAATTTGGATTTCATTTCCAAAATAGCTTTGTAGGTTTTTTTTTTTTTTTTGGTGTTTCTTCTGAGCTCTGCTAGACAATTTTTAAAATCTCGTGTTATCATCTCTTCTCTAACCTGTTTATTCCTTTTTGTAGTTTTTTTTCCTGAAGTCCATATTTTCCTTAATTGTTTTGAGAATATTTAGAAGAATTTGTAGGATTTTTTGTTTCCTATAGTAATTTTTCTTTTTAAAGATATTATGTGTTATATTTTAAGTTTAAAAGCATCAATGCAAAGACTCCCATATTGTGCTTCGTTTTTGCTCATAACTTATTCTTCAGTGGATAAAGTTGTATTTAGAATCTTGTATTTGCTTGAGAATGCTGTGTGTGTGTGCCCCTGGATGTGTCCATGTGTGTATGTGTGTGTGTTTCAGTGACTCAGAGCTGGTGATATAGATCAGAGCACATTCCCACGATATCTCTTTGCCTTTTTTTGGGGTACATTCCCTCAAAAGAGTAGATTGCTTTGTCAGAATATCTGCCTGACTCACAGTGAAGCGTCTCACTTAGCTCACAGATAACTTGTTCGCTAATCTAAGGCTTATTAATTTCTGCTCACTTACATAAGCAGATGCAAAGATCAGTGTTCTCTTCCTGCTCTTCTCTTCCTCATTTTACCTCAAAGACTTTTTGTTCATTGAATCGTAAATGCTGACTGAGGACCTCTACTGTGCCAGACACCAAATAGGTACGGGGTGTCGTGGAAACCCCGTGATCAGGTTCCATTCTCATGAAGCTTATATCATGGTATGGAGGGAAGCAGACAAGAAACAGGAGATAAAGAGGTTTCAGGCATTGCTAAATTTGAGAAGAAAATAAAACTTGATAATCGGATGGAGGATGCCTTAGGGCTGGGGGCGTTCCTAGATAGATTAAGTTCTGGCTTTGGAATCTGGGTCTCAGAACACTTAAATTTCTTAAATCATCTCTTTACCCCACATTTTATATTGGGGGAATGTCTTCTTTTGGTCATTCTTGATTTCTGTGATCTAAAACAAGGGTTATCAAGGAGCTGAGAGCCTTCAGATCCATATGCTCAAAGATAAGACCATCTGTACCCAGACTCATGTGTTCCTAAGACCAGCACATCGCCAGTTTGCATACTCAGCAGCCCCCACCCCCAGCTGCACTCACACTCTGACTACCACCCGCTCCCACAACCCTCAAGGTGCCTCCCCCAGCTCCGCCGTGAGCGATGATGAAGCTCCGTCATGGTGGTGCTCTCTCTTGCTGGGACAGGTAAAGGAGCCCAGCTTGGCAGCATGCACGGTTTTCCCTGGCTCTCTTCTCTGGGGCTTTGACTGGTGCCTCTCACACTCTCCCTCACTTCATTTCTTCCAGAGGTTCATGAACTCCTGGCCTTAGGGTTCCTGTTCCAACTCAAATCACAGAACTCTGGGGCTACGAGGGACACTAATTATTGTCTTATCTAACTTTGAATTTAGGTGAAAACAGTGAGACAAAGAAAGTTCAAACGTTTTGCCCAAATTACGAACCAGTTGTGTTCATAGCCAGAGCTAGAATTCAGGTTTTCTGATTCATACTTAGATTCGACGACCTAAGTATTTTTCAGGTACACTGGCTCTTTCTAGGAAACCTCAGAGACTGCTGTGCATATAGTTCCCTAAAACAAGTATTTTCTGAAACAGACTTCATTATGTGTCATGTTGTTTCCATACTTCGTTGGGCTAGAGGTGGGCAGTGCACTGGCTGTGGCCTAGGGGGTGGCTTGGAGGCGAAGCTGCCCCCCAAGCCCCCTTTAGACCAGGTAGAGCCCCTGCTTTGGCTCTGAGCCACCCAGCATTGGCATATGGGGCAGAGGGTGGAATACAGAGAAAGGGGTCACACCCAGAAGCTGAGCAGTCGATGTTGGGTGTTGCAGAAGCTGTGAGTCAAGAGAAGTCATGAGAGAGAGGGAAAGGAGTGGAGGATGCTCAGGAGCTGCAGGGATGGTGTGCGGGGATAAGAGGAAAATAGCTGGTGGCCTGTGAGTTGAGTGATGGGAGCTTCTAGCTCGTTGCGTATCAATATAACCTGCTTTTGAGAAATAAGTTCTATTCTGAGACATCTCTCAGCTCTTCCATGGGTCTACAAGTGTTGTCTTTCTTGTTTTTCTCACTTCCTGGATGTCCATACAAGCCCTCTCCCTCTGGGGACACCCCGGGCCTCTGTTTCCTTGTGATGTGGAATGGACCACTCAAGATCTTTTGGTCATACTTCTGCTTCTCATAAAAGCAGACAAACCGATGAACAACTGGACTTTCACTCTCCAATAAGCAAAGATCCCAGTGTAAATAGAAGCAACTTAACTCCAAAGATGACACCTTTTTGGTGGTTACATGAGTCACCATGAGCTGTACACCCCTGATTTGTATACTTTTCTGAATGCGTGTCATACTTCAACAAAAGCTTTAAAAACGTAATACAGTAAAATGAAACTTATTTTAATGGATTAGGACAAAGCATCATGGAAACCCCAGAAAGCCATTCCTCCTTTCCTCGTCGACTCTACTGTGAGGGCTTGAACCTCTTGGGAACTCCGGAGAAATTGAGGGCTCGCCTGCGAGTTGTCCGCATGACTGTGCTTGGGCTACGTGAGTGCATGTGTTAGTGGGGAAAGCAGGGGATGCTTCTGTGCATTGGGTTAAAAAAAAATTGCCTTGAGGACTGAACCTACAGGGCATGAGAAAATATTCTGAGGGAATGAATTCATCTGGCAAAAGCTGGGGAGTACGCTGAGCTATCTAGGGGTCTGGCTGAGCGAGGGCTGGGTGAGGGCTGAGGCCACAGGTAGCTGGTTCTATGGGAAGGGAGCCGCCAGGGGCACCAGGTGTGTGTGTGTGGGGGGGCGGGGCAGGGACTGGAGGGTACATGCAGACTTCTGAAGGGCTCAGTGTGAGAGACGAGAACTGAGTCACCTCCCCTGAGATCAGCCACAAAGCGCTGAATGCAGAAGCAGAAGAATGTGAATGAGAACAGAGTCCCTGGGTGTGCCTGCTACCTCGCCACTTACCGCGTGGGGCCTCAGTTTCCTCTTCTGTAAAACAGGGACAGAAGAGTCAGAGATGAGGGACTGGCAGGAATCCAGGGCTTACCTGTGACAAACAGGCTCTTGGTGTCACTGCGCTGGGGGCCGAAGCCATTGTCCGCGGTGCAGGAGTAGGTCCCAGAGTGCTCTGCAGTCAGAGTGACACTGAAGGACGCCCCTCCTGCAGAGGGGGCCGAGCTGCTCCGCAGGGGGACATCTCCATGATAAAACTGGTACAGGATGCAGGGTGAGCCTCTCCGGGCTTGACAGTGAAGTGTCGCCCTTTGTCCCTCAACAGCTCGGGCCCCAGGAGTGCTGAGGGTGAGGACAGGACGAGACACGGGAACTGAGGGAGAGAAACATCAGTCAGCAGGTGCTCCTGCGCATTTCCATTAC